TGATATGTGCTTACATTCTTTTGAGGGCTATTTTTTTCATGTTTTTTATTTGGACAATAACAGAAGACTGTATCTGACATACTGGTTAGCCATTTATCATGCTTCCTCAAGATCAGGTTAGATACAAGAGCTGGATTTTATTTGTAAAGACAAGATACAGTCAGAAATAGAAAGTGTGTCAGATGAGTCTGTAGGTGTTGTGACAGACCTTCCACTTACACACACTACTGACTTCAGTGGTGCAAGACTGAACTTCAGAAGCAAAAGCTAGTTTTTTAATTAACAATTACCACAAGAATATAGAGCAACTTCCAAAGCCTTCATGAGTGACTGCTTTGCCAAGTTGCTTAGAACAATTAACTTGTATGTTTAGGTTGGGCTATGGCTTTCTTAATTCTGACTTAAGCTCAAGAGCACTACAAATTCCAAGTTCTGTACAGAAAAAAAAAAATAATTCCATTTCAGTTACACTGGAAGACAGAATATAGCCTGCCTTCTTAGAAGCAGCAGTTATTTTGTCAACAGGCTGCTACACAGAGTAGTTAAAATTTCTATTTTCATCTTTTTTGAATCTGTAATAATCAGCAAAGCTTCAGGACATATGACGTATAACATTGAGGCGCTCTTTATTCTGCTAGCACATATGCAACTGTGACTATGGTTAGACTCTCAAGCACTGAGCATGCATCACTGACTTTACTCCACTATGGCAGCCCCTCATTTCTATTTCATAATTAATCTGGCAAGAAATACACACTGCTCCCAAAAGGTGCTATGGATGCTGCTGGTAGTGTTTACCTCTCAAGATCAAAAGCTCCAGCTGAAACACTATTTAATCTAATCCTGGAGTGTGCTGAGATTTTGGAAAAGAATAGAATGCCAGGTATGTACACCTGGGAAACTCAGCACTTCATTCCACCAAGTTACTTTCACTCTAGAAGTATCCCCTGAATGGCAGCAGCAGCACTTCCTCAAGCCTACTTTCTTCAGTTCTGCTTCAGCTATTCTTCACTGTTGCAAAAGCTCTACAGACTTCCAATATGCAGTACACAACGTGCATAAACATCCAGTACACACAGGTTGTACTATCCCATCAACTATGTGAAAAACTGGACCAAAGAGTTTTGAATGAATGTTTAGTTTCCTGCCCTTCCTTACTATTTCTGTTTATGTATGCATCAGTGGAAAGACTGCTGCATGTGTTCATAATTCTACATTAATATCTCTAAATAACTGCTGTATTTTGTTATTCCAAGAATATTCTATAGAGCTCTACATCTGTTCTTCCTAGGATATGCAATCTAAAAAAAATAATTGTAACAATGGAAGCCACAGCATTGATGCTCTCTGAAGGAAGTTCTGTAGATCTTAACACTGAGTTTTGAATGACTTCATGCTGTAACTTCTTCCCCACAGAGTAGTTATACACAGAGTAGTTAGTTCCTTGGCCTCTGTGTGTCTGATACACAGAGTAGTTAAATTAAAGTGACACATCCATACTGCACATTTGCATGGAAGATACTGTCAAAGAAGCTTACACTTTTGCTTAAGCTACAGCTTTCAGCCATAAGGTGAGGACTGTATCATCAGTTTCAGTCAGTGCTAACATCTTGGGAAGCCAAGACATAGAAACAAGCATCTCCCACAAAGTTGTTACTTAACTGCATTCTCACAATCTAGAGCTTGTGCTGTGTCAAAGTAGATGTCACATCATCATCTAATTTCAGGCGCAGGATGCATGAGTTTTGACTGGTATTCTCCGAAGGCCTAGTTTTGTTACCTAGTTTCCTCTGTACTCCTGCCTCACATGCTAACAAGTAAAGCTAAAACCAGAAACCAGAAGAGCAGTAGTCAAAGATGAGAAAACTTAGCCAGGAGGTCAACCAACTTTACAAATTCATAGTAAGGTCTAACTATATTTCTTACAGATGTAGAGAACAAAATTTTACAAGCAAAATTGTAATTATAATAAGTCCATCTCCTAGATAAGCCAAAGATAAAGCCAAATCGATTTTTTTTTTCTTAACCATAGCTGCAACTATGTCCAGTTCCTGGAGCTCTAGAACAAAGATTATCACAGCAGAAATACTGACACCTTGATTACTGAGAAAAGTAACACAAACACTAGGCTCTCTTACACCAGCAAATGTATTTTACACTTGCTAGCTCACACATTAAATGAAATCACAAACAAAGGTACAAAACCAGACACTGACAGTAGTTCAGCCTTCCTCATCACAATACTGTCCCCTGCCTGATGTCCTTCCATGTACCTTGTAGGATTCACACTTTACTTTCTGGGCAGAATTGTCAAAGTGTGGTATGTAAGCATAGACACTTCTGACAAAGTGTAGAAAATCTGCAAGAAACCCCTCTATAAAGCACTTTTGGAGAGGATGCAAAACTGCAGAGCCGATAAGAACTCACATTCATTTACTACATCCTGCTACCAGGTCAGCCACTTGACTGCCCTGATAATCTCGCAGAATTCTCTTATCTCCCTCTCTTTGCCTCACTCTTTCATAAAACCGTCATAAACTTGAGTTAATCACTTTAGGATCTACCCACCTGCATGAAGACTTGAGCGCTAGGAATACATTAGGGAGCTATGTGGATATAGCATTGCGGGACTGTGGGCTGGTGAGCATGGCAGTGACGGGTTGATGGTTGGACTGAGTGATCTTAGCAGTCTTTTCCAACCTTAGTGATTCTGTGATTACAACAATGTGCTTTCCTCCATTTTCTGTTACAAAAGTACTTAACTGATACTATTTTGGGGACTTTGTCATGGCTAGCAAACACTGCTAGTTTTTGAAAAAAAAAGAAAGTTCTGGTTTGAAGCACAAGAAACCCCACATTAAAGAATATGAATAAAATTGAGACATTTTAGGAAAGTGAAAGAAAAAAAACATAATTACTATTCTAACAAAACACAGTTAAAAACAAAAGACGACAGTACAAGAGTCCTTAGGGAACATCAATTTTGTTATACTTAAAATACTTCTGGAAATTTATTCCAGTAGTGGTATTTTAAACATAGAACAGTCATTTTTCTGGGGACTCCTAGAAAGGAGAGTGTTCCCTGAGGCTGTAATTTGTCTCAGATGAGGAAGATACACTAAACAAAACCATAGGACAGTATCTTCAAGTAGAAGTCAGCAAACCAAGCAAAATTTAACCTTGTTACTCTAACGCTCTGCGCTATCATCTGAATATTATTCTTCCCATGTTCTTCAGAAACCAGAACATAAAATTACAGCAGTGTTGTTATGCCCACGTAGCTGTAGTCATAAAACTGAATTGTATGTTTCTGAATTGAATTTTTGTTTACTCCATTTGAAATGAATGATTAGACAAGACTGTATCCAAGAAAACATTGTTTCTTCAACTTAAGTTTTGTTCATAAGGGTATTTTTAGCTTGTATCATTAACTTTTTCACACAGCATCCCTGAGATGGATCTGCATCAAATCTTGATTCTACAATGAAGACCAATCACAGGGACGTGCCTTCCTAAAGGAGTTTTCCATATGAACTCCAAGCACACTGGAAAGTGGTATTCTTGCCACCCACCAAACCTGAAGAGAGTATCTTTACCAACTTCTTAAGCCCAAACTGATGGGCATCTTGCAGCTCACTCATTCACTCCAAATGAGACTCTGTAAGATGTCTGAAGATAAATACCATCATTGCTTACCTACAGCTCACTGCCAGAAATCAAACACACAGAGGCCAAGGAACAGCCAGAAGAAAAAAGCTTCCAGGGCAGACCTCCTGTCCACAACCAACTACTGGGAAACCTCTTCAGCACTCTAAAGTCCCAGCACATGCCAGGCCCTGTCCCACCACTGCTGTGCCATAGGACTGCCTAACACCACCACAAAGGATCCCATTCCAGCATCTGGAAGCATTCCTGGATACACTTCTATCACACACCAGCCTGAGAGCACCTATGCCAGTCATCAGCAATTGAAACAGACAACTGGCAACAGCAAGTAGATACCCCTGACTGCTGACAGCTATTCTGAAACCAGGTCACTGGCTCCATGCTCCTTCTAAGCGCATTTCAGGCATTTCCAGTGCAGCAGAGAACAGGGGAGCCAAAAGAACAGGTGGTATGGAATAATGGCAAGAAGTTGCCCTGACCAGACTATACCACATCCCACACCACCACATGACCTCATGCCCCTTAATACCATGCCACAGGAAAGGTCGAACGCCACCTCCACACAGAGGAGCCCACAGCCATCACAAACCACCCCACCTCATGAAGGATCACACACAGCATCAGCACAGAGGATCACACCACCACTAAATGGAGGTTCACACCGCACCACCTCCACACTGTGGACCATACAACAGGAGAGAAACATCACCATACTACCATCAGAGAGACACAAACCAGACCCTCGCCACACAGAAGATCCTTTCAGCATCTAAAGGAGGGATGTACGAAAGACGGGAGGGCAGGGTCTAATGCGGTAGGGCAAGGGGAAGTGGCTTCAAACGAAGAGTGAGCAGCTTCAGATCGGATATAACGAAAATAAGGATGGTGAAGCACTGGAACAGGTTGTCCACAGATCGAGTGGCTGCCCTGTGCTTGGAGACAGTCATGCTGGACCGGTCTCAGAGCACCTAACAGAACTGTAGATGCTGCTGTTTAATCAAGGCGAGTTGGACTAGATGGCCTCCGGGGTCCCTTCCAACTCCAACGACTCAGTGAGTCTGCAATCACCCCACTACTACCTGCACACACACCCCAGCACAGCGGAGGCTCATACATCACACAAACGCCAAACACAGGTCCACACACCGCCTCCTCCACAGAAAGGACCGCACACCACACGAAGGACCTCGCGATACCCCTTTCACACCACATCACCCCCGCACGGAGGACCAACTCCCCCCCTTCCTCCAGCACAGCCCGGCCCCTCGCCACACGACGGCTCGCACCCACGCCGCCCGCACGCAGCCTCCCGTCGCACGCCGCCCCGCGCTCACCGCCGCCTGCTGGAAGGCGCCCTTGGTGTAGGTGCCGCCGCCGCGGTAGGCGATGGCGGGGATCTCGCGGCCCAGCAGCGCGCACTTGTGCTGCTGCGGCCGCCGCCGCGAGATGTAATCCACGCGCGGCACCACGTTGCTGCGCGAGGAGAAGGTGACGATGGCGACGCGCGTGGCCGCGGGCACCACGGGGAAGTCGGAGAGCAGCTTCTTGACGAAGCGCAGCTCGCTGAGGAAGTTGGCCGGCCCCACGCTCGACGACTCGTCCACCAGGAAGACCAGCTCCAGCCGCCCGCTGCGCGCACGCAGCCGCCGCACCTGGCGCTTGAAGGCGCGGCCCAGCTTCTCCACTTTGCTTTCCGTCGTGTCGGGCAGCGGCGGCGCTGGGGCGGGCGAGGCGAGGGCAGGCGAAGTGAGGGCCGCCCCCCGGCCCTGCGGCGCCGACAGCGCCAGGGACAGCGGTAGGGACAGTCCCCCCCAGCAACACAGAGCTACCAGGGGCCACATCGCGGACGGCGGCGACTCCCGCCTCCGCGCTCCTCGTCGGGGCGACCTCCTTGCCGCCGGCCCCCGCAGGTACCCGCGCCCTTTAATCCCCCCGCGGGCCGCGCCGCAGACGCCTCCCCCGCGGCGGAGGTGCCCGCCCCGCTGTCGGCCCCTCACCGCTCGGGAGCGACGTCCCCGGCTCCCTCCCCGCCCCGCCGGCCCTCCCCCGCCGCCCCGGCCCGCCCCGATGGGTCCCGGCGGCGGGGTGGGGAGGGACGGGAGCCCCGGTGGCGGCCGGCGACCCGCAGACCGGAGCCGGGGCTCCTTTTGCCCGCCGCCGCGCAGCTTCAGTTATCTAAGCTGTTACAGCTCATTTCACTCGCTAATTTCTTATTAACCATCACTCTAGCTGGTCAGCTCCGTTTCAAGCAGTAATTCAGTCTTAGGAAAATCCACTTGGAGCGTGCCGATCAGCCAGGTAAACCTGTTGATTGCAGCTCCTTCATTCATTTCCCAGCCCTTCTCTTTGCTGTTTGTTGCCATTTAGCCGTGGTGTACATGCTGGTGCATTTGCAAGTCAAACCCCACATCTATATTTAATGCCATTACTTAGTCCTTCTTCACTGCTGATGGAAAATCCAGTGCTGCTTCTTTGACTTTCTAGCAGTACTCAAATTCCACTGCAGCTGACAAGGGAATACGGGAGAGGAGATATCATTTAATTACGGAAACGATGCATTTGATGTGTGGTTCCAACATACGCTAAGTACTTATACTACTATACTTATACTACTATAAAAATACACTTCTTTGGTGAACTTTTGCCACATTGTGCTTGAAACAGAGGTAGCATTCAGACACTCTCAGAGAGGAATAGTAGAGTTCTGGTACTGAGGTGTGTGCTGCTGATGAGTTGAATCAGTTCATCTCGCTTCGTTTATGTCACAGTGAAACACTGCAGCATTGGGCTGATTAGCTTTGCCCCGGTAGTGACAGGCAACATTTCACCTTGAAAGGGGCAGTTAGGACCTTCTACAACACCTGCCTCCTCCAGCAAATTGATTTGCTCCATTAGCCTTTGAGGGGTGAAAGAAGTGATGCCTCAGTTGCATTCGCTGTGGGCTGAGTAACAACAGTGCTGTACCTTGAAGCACTCTTATCAGTAGTATATCAGGCTAGAGAGCATATCAATATTTGCAGAACCCAGATTGGGAAGTTATAGCCAAGAAGAGGAGGTGAAAGTGAATGAAATGAGTGCTTTTTACAAGGTGTGCCTAGAGGAAAGTGAATCACTGCAGTTGACATGTTCCCATTACTCTAAATATTCAGGTCACCATCAAGATGTAACTTTCTCTAGGCCAGTTTGTTTTGTTGACAAGGTAACTGCCAGTTCCCTTGTTTTCCCCCATGTCTTTGTAACACTAGTCAGATTCAAATTTTTAATGAATTGTAGGACACAGAAAAAAAAGAAAGGAGGATGAACTGGAAACATTTTTAGCAAAGAAAGAATAATTCGTGTTGGTGGCCATTTTTCCTATGCACAATCTGTACTGCTAGCGTGAGAGACTGCAACCGGGTAGGACTAACTTTGAAAATACTGTGATTACTTTCAGTATCAGTGTTCAAATCAGTACTGACTCCCCCCTCCCTGCTCCCCCCCTTCCCCCCCCCAA